TAAAATTGGGTCTGCCACTTCACTCCGAGTATTTGCCGCTTTCAGGGCTGATAGGTGATGGTTATAGAAGGTCAATTTTGTTTGTTGGCCCTCCTGAATCGGGGAAGGAGACGAGCGGCGAGAGGGTTTTCGTCGACGATTTCGCAAGCCTTCTCAAACATTCTCAAGGAGGTCGCAAATTTATTTTCGCCGTGCGTCCGTACGCGCATGGCTTGAGCATGCACACATTGCGCACTCACGACAAACATTTGAAAAATTTAGGAAATGACGACGCCGTAGAAAATGACGACGCTGGCCGGGGAACTTTTTTGAGGAAGCACGAGGTCTTTCAATTTCATTCCCATGCGAGTAAGCATGGAGGAAGACGAGAATTGTGCCTCCTGTGCACAAAGTCCAGGTAGTGTTGGGCATTTAGTGGCTTCAGCCAGTACTCAGGTTTCGGAAATTTCGTGGAGCTCATGTTTGTGCCACTGTGTGAAGATCGAAGGAAGCGAAAAGGAGGAGAAAGTAAATTTCACGAACACCAGCTGGTCTCGAGTGGTATCTGCTGCCAAAATTCGCCAGGACGGCACATGGGCCTTTCTCTGCCAGGAGCAGTGTAGCACGGATGAGAGCACCCCGCGTGGCTGGTACCATAGGCGCTGCTATGCAGCCTACACCCACAAGAAGACTCTGAGTCGTTTTGAGGGAGAGGAGAGTGGTGGCCTTGCCAGCAATGTTGACGCAGAGGAGGTGGGTGACGCAGATGCCTGTGAGGATGAACCTCCCAAGAAGCGTGTTATGACACGAAGCAAAGTGACAACCATCGACATCACTCTGTGTATAATATGTCAACAAAAAACAAAAAAAAGAACCGGAAAGCTGAACCGCTTACCCTCTGTTCAGAATTCCGTGCTGGCGAAAGCCTGATCCGTGCGGCAAATGCACGTGGAGATGAAGCAGGCCAGCGGATTTTACTTACCCTCCAGGAGGGCAGTCCCGATTGTGTAGCATCGGACATATGCTACCATTTCTGCTGCTACCGTAACTACACTCATTCTAGTACGGTGGCAGCACTGGAGGCAAAGAAGACGACGGCAGTTGCAGACGACAATGTGTACGATAGAGCCTTTGAGTGGCTGGCTGTATGCATGGAGAAGGAGCTCTTCAGTGAGACAGAAATACGAGCGATGCGTATGGACAGCCTGACGTCCAAGTACAGCGCCAAGCTGGCAGAGCTCGGAGCTGCAAGTCAATACCGACGATGGCTGCTGAAGAAGCGCCTGTTGGAGCATTTTGGAAAATGCATCAACTTCGTCCGTCCTGGTCCATTGTCACCCGAGAGCGTTGTAAGCAGCTCCTTGACAGAATCACAACTGCTACAAGTAGTTGGTGCAGCAGTAGCCAAGGCTGAGGCAGCCCAGCAGTGCGCCGACGAATATGCTGGAGATGATATGGCGGATGAAGATGCACCTCCAGCTATTGATAGCAGCTGCAAGGTACATGCCTTCCACACAGCCATGGCTCTGAACAACGCCATCCGTGATCAGCAGCCCACAATACCCACCATGCCACATGCCAGTGATGTCGTAAATGAGAATGCGCCAGTGCCAGACATCCTCTACAATGTGCTTGCCATGACCATTGTCGGCCCTGAGAAGTGTGACATTGGTGACCTGACGGACTCCCGTGTCCATGTCCCTGCCGACATCCATTGCAAGATTTTGGCAATTGCTCAGGATATTGTGTATGCTGCAACTCGTGGATCTATTCTGACACCAAAGCACGTAGCTTTGGCGCTTACTGTCCACCACCACACGAGGAGCAAGCACATGGTGGATCTTCTCAACCAGTTCGGCCATGGCATATCGTATTCAAAGCTGCGAGAAGTAGAAACCGGGTATTCTCTCGAAGTAGCAGGAAGTTCCGCAGCCAGCAGTGTTGTAGTACCCCGTGGCATTTCCCAGCATGGAGGTGATGTTCATTTCTGCTGGGACAATAACGACCTCAACGAGGAAACTCTGAGTGGCCAAGGGACGACACACTGCACCAACGGCATTGTGCTCCAGCACTCGCTGCCCTTCCAGGACGATCCGTGCCCACCAGAAAGTACGAGCCGTGCCGAGCCAGGTAACCAACGCCGACCGCGAAGTGTTGCCCCACCTGCAGTTCCGAGCCTAGAATACAACTGCGGTGCGAGACCAAGACCTCCTCCAATGGCCCATGCAGTTCCTGATGCACAAGGCTCGATTGACCCATTTCTCACTGTGGCATCGATTGACCTGATTTGGTTCTTGTTGCGTGCAGACCAGACGGTATCACCGAAGTTTGGTAGACCTGATGACGAGTCACAACTGGTACCCGCATGGTCCGGCTTCAATGCTGAACTGAACCAGTCAACCGCGCCAGGGACACCAACAACAGTCGGTTACCTGCCGATCATCCCAGCATCGCCTACAGCCATGAGCACAGTTTATGAGCTTGTTGTCCGGTCCCTCCGCACATCCAAGAAGCTGAATCAGCCACATTGTATCATCACCGCCGACCAAGCAGTTAATGCCAAAGCTGTGGAAGTTTGCTGGAAAAATGCTGAGCTGAAGGATGTAGTCCTCCGCATGGGTGCATTCCATACGTCGTGTGCCTTCCTTGCTGTTCTTGGGAAGAGGTTTGGCAGTGCTGGCTTGGAAGACCTCCTCGTCGAGTCAGGCGTAGTTGGCAGCAATGCGTGCAAGCAGGTGATGGCCGGCAAGCATTACAACCGCGGTGTTCGCCTCCATAAGCTTGCCTTTGAGTGTCTGCTGGGAGTGAACTGGAAGCTGTACGAGGACAGCATTGACGGTGAGGCGACAGAAACATGGGAGTTGTGCTGCAAACTTTCTTTATTGCATTCCATCTGTGCACACTAGACGAAGTGAAGTAGTTTGAGAAATGGTGCCTGTTGTTCTCACTCCAGTGGTCTGCATGTAGCACTTTGTGTTCTAATTTTCTGACCTATGTACATGTGCGTGTGTGTTCATGTATTGAAGGTGGAGGAGACACGGTGTCAAGCGATCTTGAAGGAACTTTGTCAGCATTGCGCACATCTGGTATATTTGATGGTGCTGAGTCAGTAACCAGTTCATCCAGCTACCAGAAACTTGAGCAAGGGTACCGAAAGCATGTTCAGCTGCAACGCACCAGCCCAGCATCACCCATGGCCCAGTTTTGGCTAACATACCTCGACATGGTTGGCCTGCTGCTTCAATTCATCCGAGCTACGCGGACAGGGAACTGGTCGCTACATCTGGCATGCATAGAGAACATGTTGCCATGGTTCTTTGCATACGATTGACAGAACTACTCCAGGTGAGATGCTTGGGCCCTTCATTAAGTTATCAGCTGTGTGACCGACGCAATTAAAACATTTTGCTTCAAATACGAATCATTCAGTTCTCCTAAATTGAGTTCTCATTACATTGTGCTTCACAGGTACCTGTCGCTGTATTGGCAACAAATGCGTCAACTGCCTGCTACCAACCCTCCTGCCCACAAAGCCCTATCAGGAGGTTGCTTCTCTGTTGCAAGGTCTACGAACAGCTTCTCGAAGGTGGCTGTTGATCAGTGCATTGAACAGACCATCAACCGGCAAAGCAAGTCACATGGAGGACTCATTGGCTTCAGCCGCAACCCAGGTAAGGGCAAAAATTCGTAACAACTGACCAAACTTCAAATTATCCAATAGAACATACATGTACACTGATAGGGAGATACTTCCTGATGATCCCACATGCAAGATCAAACAGTAAGCAACCAATGTACACTATGCAAACACAGTGCTGCCCACCTGCATCACGAATAGGAAGTGATTCGACTCTAATGTGATCCTGAACAGTTGTGGATTACATGTACATGATGATGTATTTCTCCTTCCCTTTTCTGTATAATTGTCCTTCAAGGAACTGTTCACCGCTGGGTGCTCACAGCTCACGAGCGAGCGGCTGTTGCAAGTGCATGTAACGACCTCGTCAAAGCGGAGGACTATGATGGCACAGCACGTCCACACAAGGACAACACAGACAGCAGAATGACGGGATCAAAGCGACTATGGGAAGCTCGAAAAGCGGTTGGCAGAGTTCAGCCATCCGTTCCTTGGTGAAGATTTGATCAGCCTCTCCAGTGGGAAAGTCTGTTCTGCTCAAGCAACCTCCGATCTCCTATCCAGTCACACGCAGGGAAAGAGTGCAATGAGCAAGTTCGTGGCAGACCGCTTGGAGAGTCAGGTAAGACGGTTATGATTTTGCAGCACACCATGTTAAAAGTTTTGACGTGTGGATATATGATAGGATGCATGTTTTGGTGACATACTTTGTTACCAAACACATTGAAATCAAAAGTGACGCTGTAGGGGATGTTATAATTCCGTTCTGTACTCCGTAATCCATGCACTACGTTCTAAGTTGTCAACCCATGTGTGTGTGTGTGCGTGCGTGACTTGTTTCTTCCTACAGGCAGTTGATTTCTTCACACCGATATCACGGCTGAACCTGAAGACGTTCTCGGAAACCAAATCTGCAGCAAAGAAGTCTTCCAAGACAACAGCGATCGTGGCAGATAGGAGCTTATTCGGCCGGCTACTAGTTATGGCTCAATCAAGGTCATTCGACTTGAAGGAACTCTTCCAGCATGAGCTTGGACCAGTCCCATGGGCCCTGGCCAACGCAGACGGATCCCTTGTGAAGACTCCAAAGAGTAAGCTGCTGCTTGCTCTTGAGAAGAAAGTTGACCCACTGGAGTCAGTTCCGCGTGGTCCTGCCGTTATGGTCGACGCGATGGCATTACTGCAGAGCTACACATCTGCGCCACCGACATTCGGACAGCTCAGCGAACAAGTCTTCAAGCAGCTAGTCTCCTACCTTCCAGCTACACCTCCAGCACGAGTTGACTTCGTAGCAGATCAATACCACACTGCGTCGATTAAGTCGTGCGAACGCTCAAAGCGAACGGCCTCAACTGAGCCCCTGCGAGTGGCAGTACAACGTCCAGACCAGGCTATTCCTACTCAGTGGAAGCGGTTCATGGCAAGCGGAGCGAATAAGGCCGGCCTAATCCAGTTCTTCGCTGACCATTGGAGTTCTACACCGGAGCTCAAGGCAACATTGGGTGTCGGTCGCAGTGTATTCATAACCGTGGGACAGCAGTGCTACGTGTTGCAAGAAGAAGAAGGGAAATGGACACTTTCACGGCACCAGGCAGTGTCCAGGTTAGTATTATAAAAGACAAACAGTACAATGTCATGTTTATTGCGACTTTGACTATTGTCAAGCAAGTGGTATAAAACATTTGCTGCATATTGGTCCCACAAGTACAAGTAGGATATTGCTGATGGATTGAATTCAGTGATGAAAATCACATAATCTGGCAGAGCCATGTTATCGTTCTCTGAATGCCCGGGAAATCATTTTGCTCTTTTTACAATTTTGATCATGTTCACAGGTTGACCAGCAATCATGAGGAAGCAGACACCCGGCTGATCCTTCATGCCGCTGATGCTGTGCAGCAAGGATTCCCAGATGTTGTCATTCGGTCGCCAGACACGGATGTAGCCGTGATTGCCATTGGCTCCGCTAGCAGCATTCCCGGTCGGCTCATATTCCAGACTGGCACGCAGCAACGGAGGCGGTTCATCGACCTTACCCAGCTGTCACAGAAGCTGGGCCCCCTGGTTTCGTCTGCAATTGTTGGACTGCATGCTCTTACTGGGTGTGACAGTGTCAGTTCCTTTTCTGGGAAGGGAAAGACTGCTCCGCTGAAGCTGCTCCTGTCAAGCACGCGAATGGCAGAGGCACTGGCGACACTGGGTGTCAATGCTACATCGGATGACCAGCTGCTTTCGGAATGTGAGTGGTTTGCGTGTGCCTTGTATGGCAATCCTGGCCAGCAAGACATCAACAGCCTGCGCTACCAAAAGTTCTGTGCGGCCACATCCTGTGCTCCTCACAAACTACCGCCCTCACGCGACGCTCTCCATCAACATGTGGCCAGGGCTAACTACCAGGCCCACATTTGGCGGAGCGCCACCACTGCGATGCCAGAAGTACCGAGTCCAGTGGGCCATGGCTGGCAGTCGGAGACTGACGGCACGCTTTCCATCTCCTGGATGCTGCAGCGCGTCGCTCCTGCTGACATACTAAAACTGGTGAGCTGTGGGTGCAAGACAAGGCACTGCGTAAGTCAGCACTGTTCGTGCAAGAAGGCGTCCTTGGCTTGCACGGACATCTGCTCGTGCTGCTCATGCGCCAATCCGTTTGGGGCCGTACTCGAACAGAACGACAGCTCCGGTGTCGCAGATGTGGGAACAACTGCATGTGAAGGCGACCAAAACAGTGAGAGCGAGGAAAGTACTGGTGCTGACGACTTTGAAGAGTCTGACTCCAGCTCAGATTCTGATGAGGATCCAGATCAGGAGTTGGACGACTCGCTGTAGACACTGGCAACTGCACCGTCCTCCCCTGGTCCAAGCCACCTATTGTGTTTGTGAATTATGGCTATGGCTGTCAACACACCTAACCTGTTCACACATTGTATATAAACTGCTTGTACATAGCTTGGCTTCTAAAGTGATGACGCTATCATCCTACATTTTATTCCAATGTACATATTAAACTGGGCATATTGTCCATGAATTGCACAGCACTGGACATGTCTTCCTTACTACAGTTGTAGTATTGATTTATTTCATTTTCGATTGAGTAGTGACTACAATGCGTTTATATCATTTCTACTCTAACTCTAATTTAATCGAGTGCTATTGAAGGTGTGTGTGCCTGAGAGAGAAGCAGGGAAAGGGTCCAAGCTTACCTTCGCAGAATGATAGGTGTCCCTCGTATCGATCGTATCAACGAAATTCCAATCAAGAAAACATTTGAGATCACTCGCGAAGCGGCGTCAAACTACACGACACGACGGGTAGTTTGTTGGCTGCCATTGCGAGTGGGTAGTGGAAGGACCAAACGATATCTAGGCTAGGCTTACGAAGTCCCTGTGCTTTACTTCTACAAGAGCGAGAGTAAACTTCTTGACCAAGAATATGATCAACAACAAAGTGAAGTCGCCGACCAGATCAGACACTCGCTTTGAGTTTTCAAATTTGACTGCATTTGGTTGTCATGTGCGTACTCTACGCAACTCAGAATCGGCCCGAGACGAAAGGTGAGCAGTTCAAGTGACCGACGAAGCTGAACTAAAATTGCCTCTCGCGGAGCTCCTTCCCCGATCTAGACGGGCCAACAACTACCATTCGACTCCACAACAGGTACTCTCTCCACCTGTACAGTTCGATTTTACTCGGATTCTAGTGGCAGACCACTTTCAGATTTAGACACTTTTTTTTGTCCTGGATCCCCGACTATATACTTCCTAGGATAGGATACCCAGGTCTACTCACGCACATAGCACGATAGTAACTCTGAGTAAAAACAAACTATCCACTTACCGCCATAGCGAACCAATCGTCTTTTGGCAACAGCAGCTCACCACAGGAAACTGGTAAGCAGGTAATCGACTGTGGACTTGCTATACTACTACTACTAACAGCGGAATAAAAAAAATCATCAATCGGCTATGGAACAATATCCCAAACATTCTCCACTATTATTTCTTCCACGAGCGTACCCAGTTAGCTACATGTGCCTCCACGAAAGCAATGAACGAGCATCGCTACAGACAAGTCATTAATTTGTTCAAGTCTGCGTTTGTTCGAAATACCTCTGCTCTGGGCCGCTGTGACTGAAACAAGAGTGGGTCCATCACCATGATCACTGCATCAGCGGGTGGCAATGGCCACACAACGGCAAATCTCTTCAATCAAAGACTGCAGTTCATGAATGAGAGTTCCTACTTTTGAGACAGAATAATAGATATTAAAATAAATATCTTCCTCCACTGACGAGAGTTTTGTACTCGAAGGAGCTACTGTATAGCAGGAAATTTTCGGACGGAATTTATTTTCGTACGATTTCGTACACGGCCTCTTTTGTACTAAAATTAATTCCCTACTAAAATTTGTTTATGTGAAATTATGTACACTATACATGCGCACTGCATGCAAACACGTGTATTTAGCATGCAGCACTGTACGAAAATATAATCCGTACGAAAGGTCGAAATTCGGCTTTGTCCGAAAATATTTCCGTCCGAAAATTTCCTGCTATACAGTATATGAAGGAACTGGGTACTAACGGCTGTGTCGCTTTGCTGATGGTGTGCTGTGGCAGCGTGTAGTGGTCGGATGGAGAGCGCAGGTGTGGTGCGGTGGTTGATAAGAATCACCTGATAAAGTCTCCAATAAAGCTGAGATTTTTGCCACGTCCTTTTTCTCGCCCCACTGAAATACCGCCCCTTCATCATCCCTGCCCCCTTTCTCACACCTCTCCCGTATATGCTTAGTGAATATTAATCTTGGTTAGTCCTGTCTGATAAGTAGGCCTTGACGGATTATGCTAGCATAATTTTTCGCATAATTCCTACCAAAATCGAATAATCGCATAATTCGAGGCAAATTGCATACGAATCGCATAAAATTGTGATAATCCGCCTGTTCGCATCACATTCCATACAGTTGTACATGTTATACAAGTACAAGTACAAGTAGATGCACCAGGAAGTCGTAGGTTTACCACTCCCTTGATAACATGTCCAGTCCACTACAATCAGTGATGGTCGTAGCTAGGTCGGACGGTGCGTTGACCCCGTTGAACTTTTGCTACTACAGTACAACGCCCTCTACCAAAAAATTCCCCTGTTATTTTGCACAGAACCATTATGCATTAGCAGCATATGTGAGCATAATACGGCATAATATGATAACTTTTAGCATAAAAATAGCATAATTCTGCAATTTTTTCAGCAATGCGAAAAGCATAATTTCACGAAAATATTAGCATAATCCGTCAAGGCCTACTGATAAGCGTGGGTGCTGCAGGAAAACGCAACGCTCTCCAAACAACTTGGCGAAACTGAGATAATTGTGCTGTGGTATTGATGGGCTGAACTTGGACAGCCAGAGTGTATACGATACGAGCCGCAGGTGAAAGTGAGGCTTGAGGCCTGGGGTTGTCATTCTCACAAAAATAGTCATGTACCACCCTAACACATGTCTGGCAGTTTCTGAGGTCACTGTCAAAACCAAGTATGGTCTCTGTCAGAGTTAGGTTGGCTACGTGGCCGCAAGATAAAGTCAGCCTGTCTGCAAGTGCAAACAGATACATACGGCCCGGAGAGCTAGAGGAGTGTTAGATTCTGTAGGGTAGGCCTAGTTATTCCTAGCTTTCTGTCCAGATCGCTCCAGTCCTGCACTGCAGTGCCTGTCAGGTGGTCATGTCCAAGTACATCCATTGACTGGCATTTTCCACTCCAGCACCCCGGTTCCGAGTGCGCGCTATGCTCGACAATAGTACACACAATGCAGGGTGTCATTGACTATGCTGTAGTAGATTGGTTTGTTCCTTCATGGATGTGACCAGTCATAAGCGTGTTAGGCTGTGCCGATAATAATAGTAATGGCGATGTTGTGTTACTGCGGTTTGGACATTAGAATTCCCCTTGCGATACGCATGATTACAATCGGGTTGACCAGCAATGAGACAAGCCATGCAGCTCCGGTACCCAACATGACCAGGTCCAGGGACAAAAACTAACTATAAGTTAACGCTCTCCTCACGTCGGAATTTCATTTCAGCAGAGTCCAATGTCAAAATGGTTTTTAGAGAAATTGAGAGGGAACAGCACAATGGAAAAGGTGTTTGGTTCAAGTATGCAGGTCATTGTTGGCCTGTTGGTGAAGTATCTTCCGCGTTCTGTGCTTCTCCGTATCTTAAAAGATTCGGCGAAGCACAGAATGTGAAGGATACTTCAAGTATTGGTTCGTTCTTGGAAATTCTCTTGGCACTTGTGCCAGCTTCCCTTTCATATCACTTGTGTCTGGTTTTGTTGAATGCTTGATGCATTCAGAAAATCTAGACTAACTAGCCTGTGTTGTGTACCACCATTCCTACGGAGTGCACAGTGGCGGGCGTTCCCAGAGATGTGGATCGCTTCAGGATGTTATCATCCAGGCCAGCTTCTGTGGCGTCCGCCTTTAGATAATATACTAGAAGCTTTCCTCAGGGCTGGCATTATGGAGCACTATCAGTAGAAAAACAAGCATTACGAGTCAATTTATGACGCATTTCCTTCGCCACGTACGAAGAACAACACAACGCTCATAAGGCTTAGGCTTTCCTCAAATTTTCGCCTATTTTTTCTTTTCTTTTTTTCGCCTATTTTTCGCCTATTCGGCTTTTCGCTCGCGTATTAGCACCTCAGTTCTCATTGACCCCACTCGTTCCTCATTCCTTATTCCATTTGGCCAAAGCGAAGACTAGCCAAGCTTGCTTGTAGATGTCAACGCGAAAAGGCTGATGATAGTTATCATGATGACGATTAGCCCTTGGCGGATTATGCCGGCATAATATTTGGCATAATCTTGGGATTTCGTCAAAAAACTATGCTCCGGCATAATATACGGATTCCAACGTGTAAGGTGGGCATAATATTTCAGTTTAGACAAATATTATGCTTAGGGGCATAATACAGCTTTGTCAGAAAGCCTGCAGATGGTTTTTTTAAATACCCCAGTTACGACTCCTTGTCATAGTCCTTGGCGGAATATGCCGGCATAATATTTGGCATAATCTTGGGATTTCGTCAAAACATTATGCTCCGGCATAATATACGGATTCCAACGTGTAAGGTCGGCATAATATTTCCGTTTAGACAAAAATTATGCTTAGGGCATGGCCGTGTGTGTATGCGTGGTTTCTCAATCCTCTCTGTACAGCGTGAATACATAGTGGAACCGAGCATAATCCAGCATAATTCAGCATATTTGTTGGCATAATTGTGGCATAATCAAAAGCGTAATTTGACGATTGGCCGAGCATAGTCCGCCAATGGCTAATGACGATGATTATCCCTCCGATTAACTAGCATTATCCGCCCAGGCCTAGAAACTGACGTGATGACGAGTGGAGACAAACGGAAGTCCAGACGGAGGTGTTGTGAATGTGGGCTAAGAGCGTGTTACTTCAGTAGTAGTGTAGAGTGGTGGAGTGTTTCAAAATTTCAAATGGCCAAGCTCATCGCCACTGCTACTTTAGTCTCTGAATATGTCTAAAAACAATAAAAGGAAGCAGAATGCGCGATGGTCAAATCGGAACCGCCAATCAGCTTTAGCACGTGTTTGATTTGCACTCCAACAGCCTTCTATTATGCTTCCTTTCAGGAAAATCTTAAAAATGGTGGTTTTCACTATATTAGCCATTATTATAATATCTTCCTCCACTGACGAGAGTTTTGTACTCGAAGGAGCTATATGAAGGAGCTGGGTACTAACGGCTGTGTGGCTTTGCTGATGGTGTGCTGTGGCAGCGTGTAGTGGTCGGATGG